CAAAGATATAGAAAGGTTCATAAAAGAGTTTGGCAATAAGACAATGTCAAACTGCCGCAAAATCTCCTTGAAACTTTACGAGCTCGCAGTATAAAGCAACAGAAAATGCAAAATTTGCCCCCGTATTACACATAATTAAGGCGAGAAAGAAGTTTGGGCAGGCAAGTTTCAATAAGCGCACTAGTTTCTTTCAAATTCAATTTTTTTACTTTGTCTCCAACTGCGACTCACGGTCGAAACTTTGCGAGTCCAGAGAGTGAAGATTTTTCTATGGCAAAGCGAAGTTGTGCTCTTAGAAACAACGTTGGTTAAGAAGGGAAGCAGTTAAAGAGAAGCGCGTTTGAATAATCGTTCTTGCTCCACTCAACTTCAAAAGTTCAAGCTTTGTCCCTAACTGCGAGTCACGGACGAACTTTGCGAGTCCATAAACTGAAAAACTTCAGCTCTAAACCTAGCGAGTCGATAGAGTCAATCCTCATCTGTGATTAAGTAAATTCGATTCTACCAATTCCTCCTGAGTTGAGAGATAAAGAGTTTATTCGGCATTACAAAAATACACTCAAGAAGCACTAAAAAACATCGACGCCACTGTATTTGAAATTCAGTTGAAGTTGAGCCACAGTGTACATATTCCTCTGTATTCTAGAGTTAAAGTCTGTTAAAGCGGGAACATTTTTAGACAAATGCCTCTCAGTAACCGCAGTTCATCCGTTTAAAAAAATATATACATAGAGAAAGTCTGTGAAAAAGCTAAATCTTCGTTAAAACGGGAGTTGGTTGAGGAGAGAAAAAGATTTAGACCAAAGCGACTTGAAAATCGCTCTTGCTAGGGCACAAAGAAAAACTTTATTAGTAAAGAAGTGAAATCAGCTCCAGCACTCCACTTAACACTTGAGAGATAAAAAGGCTTATAGGAGAGCCTAGCAAAAAAAAAACCTAAGGAAAAACGATTGGGACGCTATTGATATCGAAATTCACTATTTCCGCCGCCAGGTTACTTTGCCACATCCTTTATAGTAGCGATGGAACAGCTTAACAAACAGCTAGAAAAACTCGTCAACAACGATCCAGAAGAGAATAAATTGAGGCTCAAAAAGGGCAAGACAACAACAAAGCTAAAAAGTATGCACAGAAAAGGAACCTCAAAGGGGCCAACAAGCAGCAGCAACAAGCGAAATCGAAGAGACAACAACAAAACTATTAAAATTTTTAACTTATTTATTTAGTAGTCAATTTATTTTCAATACAAAATTTTTTTTATCAACAAAATTTTGGAATGGCTATGGGGTCACCACTATCCCCATTTTTTAGTAATTTATTTACGGAAAATTTAGAATGAA